ATAAATAAATAAATAAATAAATAAATAAATAAATAAATAAAAAGGTGGAGGGGGGGCAACAGCAAATTATGTTAATGTAGTAAGGATTCGCTTGACTGGTGTCTCAGCTTCTGATAAAAGCAGCTGTGCTAATACATTGATTTTATTTGTGCGTGAAACTGGTGGTTAAAAGAACCAGAAAATGAACTTCCCTTTAACTGTACTTAAGCCTTTGAATGAGTGGTTAAAAAGTGAGGGGGGGGGTCCATCAAGCCCCTCTCCTCCTACGCCTATGACTTTATTTTATTCGAATGATAATGATATGGTAAGTGGGAAAAATTCTCAATTAGTAAGTTTATATTTTCCAAAGACCCCTGTGCCCCCCCTGTGCCCCCCCCCGGCAAGGTGAAAAATAATTTGCTTGTTTTCATTTTAGCATTTTAGCTGCAGAGTCAATCAAATCCACGTAGGTCCAACGACAACAAAATCAAATTCAGAAAATTTTCAACATGTTTTAATATCTTTTTAGACCATCCGTCCGGCCTCCCCCATCCCTTCCAAGCAACGGTGTTGTCAAATTTAGCTCAAAACCTGGATACGGTTGGGCAACACAATAAACATATCACAATATGTTTTACTTGTTCAGTGGCAAAAAAAAAATTTCTTACCTTCTACCAGGTATACTGATTGAGTATTCACTAGATGTTCACAGATAATGTCTCTGGTTAAATATGGTCATGTTCTAAAACTGGCTGGTGGAAAATCTGCCTACAATATCTACCGCCCTTGTAGGGGGTAGCTTTTCCTGGGGTAAATGACAATTTTCCCGTACTTACCAATGGTTAATGAATCCGTTTCGACATTCACAGTTAGTCTCTGTTGTTATTATTATTATTATTATTTATTTATTTTGTTATTTTATAAAAAGTTTGGTTATTTTGAAGTAATCCCTTAAGAAATTATTACAGCGGGTAGCCATCTATGTAGGTCATGTGGTACGATGGCAAGCAAAGATCCCAGAATAATTGTGATAGCTGCCGTTTGGTGATTAAAAGAATTTATTATATTTCTGTAAGTTGGTTACAGTGTATTTATTGTGAAATATGGGTCTCATTCGAAGGGTTGTTATCGTTTAAAGAAAGACAAGAGGTATTAAATCGTAGCTTATTTTTAAATTTGTGTTATTTATGGTTAACTATACGAATCATTGCTCGACCAGTCAATGTATTAGCAATTGATATTTTACCCAATCTTCGATTAAATAATTTTGTTCTAAATGTCTGGCCAGTGATTTATAACAACATCTGCCTTCTTTGCCGGTACATCCACAATGTACATACTGAGCATGACATCGTTTTCACTGTATGACACTGTGCACTCTTGAGTATTGACGCGGTCTATTTGAACAAAGAAATCAGGGCCGTAGCCTCCGGGGGGGCAGGGGGGCAGCTGCCCCCCTGGGATTTGAGGTGCAAAAAAAAAAAAATAATAATAAATAATCGCAAAGGTAAAAAAAATAAATAATTGCAAAGTTGGTATCAATTCTGTGAGAAAATACAGTCATGGCCACTAGACAATCATTCAACAATCTGTTTACAAAGGTGTACTGTTTTATCCAACTCAGTTCATGCCGAAAAGTCCAGTTGGCATGTTGTGTTGAAAAAATGACTGTACTTATGGCAAAATGAACCCACAATTTCTGACTTCTGATTGAGCAATAAATAACAGTTAAAATGCACCAGAATGCAGTATTATACATACAGTTTAAAAAATTTTTCCACACCATGGGAGGGGGACACCCCCTCCCACACCCTCCCCCCTCGGGGGCTTCGCCCCCTTGTTTCCGCTTACTGCCCCCCTGGCATTTTGCTCAGGCTACGGCCCTGGAAATAGACACTATCTCTTTGATTTGAAAAGGGCAGAAGATAGGGTTTGGGTGGGAAGGAGAATTCTTTCTTAAAAACTGGACATTTACCTCATGATGATAAATTTTAGTTGATTAGCAGTAATACCCGTATAATATACAAGTACAATAGAAAAAAAGAATACATTTAAGTGAACTACTTCTTCTTTTGGTGTTTTTAAGATTATTTCAACTGTTAGAATTCTAAATTTTATTTTTTTCCAGTTGCATATATTCACGCATCTAGCTCTAAAGACCATCGTGATTGGAAATAGTGACGGGAATAATCTCTCTCTCTCTCTCTCTCTCTCTCTCATCCACTCAACCTCGTTCCTTCAACACTATCGTTTGGTTCATATCCCGCGATTCTCGACAGCGAAAACAGTTAACGCGGTCTGCAACATTTTAAGGAGAGATAGATGAAATATTGATTCTACTTAGATTGTCTGCAATTTTTTTAAACGTTGCAAACTTGTTGAAGTTGCCTAGTTTTTTACTCCATAAATGTTTTAATAAACTCTGAATTTAAGTGGTTAGAAGAGTCCCAGTTATTTTGATAGCATCTCGATAATTTTATCTTGCGTGCCTCTTCAAAAACTGTCCATACACAAAAATCGATAATCGTATGGGATTTTTATACAGGCAATCGACCTACTTTGAGCAAGTGCAGTTATCGGCGCTATTTAACAATTTTACGACTTGGACGTGGAGACTTGATTCACCTCTGTGATACGAAAGTCTTTTAAAATGATATGATTAATTAATGGAACGTGTCTATCAAAGTTTTTTTTCATAAAAGGGCATTGGTTTTTAATGATAATGGGAAATGTGTAAGCAACTCAAAACCAAAAAAAAAACTGTATTTTTCTCTTATATGCAAATTAGCTTGCCTTGAGTAATAAACTGGCCGGAAGTGATGTTCATCTCTGTAACGTACAAGGCCGGATACAGCACAATTGAAATGACGTTCCAAACGAAGTTGTTAGCAGAAGGGCAAACAGACAAGTTTTTTGGGAGATTTTAAGAAAGAGACACAAAAAATCAGAATCACCGGAAATATGAGTTATAGAAATATAAAAGTTATTTTAACCGAATTTAAATGTTTTTAAGATAAACACTTAAATTCAAGATCTTCATGTAGTCTGTAAAAGCAGAAAACTGAAAATGATTCGAGTTTTTTTTTTAGACTATTGAATGAAGCGCAAACTGACTTATAGAAAATGTGTGATTGAAATTTGTTTTTCTATTCTTACACGTACATTCACAAATCAAAACGAATAAAATCCAGTGAAACATGCATGTGTTTGCACTGACCGGGATCCTAGCCAACTGATTTCCACTTAATTGGCATAATTCTCCATGCGAAACACACTCTCAATTCAGGACTTTTATTTTAAAGAAATGATATAAGAATGGAATGAAAGACTTCATTATATTTACGTAAAACTACTCACGAAATAAGAAAGACTTGTTCTTTGATATCCCTCCTTCCCCCGCCCCCTCCTTCTGCTGCTACCATTCAAACAAACCGCTTTTAACACTAAACGTGTAGTGTGCGTCACAAGTTTTCACTAATTAGAATAGGGGAGACCCGGACTAGTTGGACCCCGGGACAAGTGCCGCCGCCCCCCCCCCCCCCCTTTTAAATTAAGAAAAAGTAACTATGGGGTAAAAATATGATCACATCATTTAGTAAAGTGACCATATCCAATAGTGCTAAGAAAGCGTCGGTCGTAAAAAAGTTTTATTAAGGCAGTGAGTCCAAATGAAGGAAGTGGAGCTTCTCTTGTCGAGTTTCTTGCCCTTTGGATATGGGGCTTTGCTGGCAACAGAATGTCGTTGGGTGGCTCCATGTCCACCATGTCCATCAAACCAGGTTTTGGAGATATGACTTCCCCGGTAGTGTCAACGAAAACGGTGTTTGACAACTCGTCCGCAGATAAGGCAGTGTTCTTCACTTCCTTCAGCACAACCTTTTCTTCATTTGGACATCTCACGCCTGCCTCAGTCTGAATTCTGGCGTTTTCAAGGATGGCGGTGGGCTTCTCGTCCATGAAGACGGCAGTGTTCTTCGGTCTCTAGAGCATGGTTTCATTTTTTTCGTCATTTTGTTTTGGGAATGTTTTAATCGGTCTGTGACAGAAAAAAAATGCACCAGCGTAAACCATAAAATTAAAAAATGTATGATTTATTGTTGGCACACCGGCCTTAAAATAGCGCTTTGGTATTTTAATATTTATGTTAAAACATACAGTGTTTCTGCGGTAGTAAGATGTGTGTTGCAGAGTATATAAACAGTAAATGTCAATTCATTTGGCGGTGATTTCTATTAACAAAGCTGTTCATTCTTCAAGGACTCCTTTCGATCTTGAGATCTTATGCTGCTCCCCCTTCTTCCATAACAATAATGATTTGGAAAGAAAATCTACAATCAAAATTCGGGGACAAAAACATATAGAACGGACTCAATTGTAAAACTTTTTTACTGTCGCTCGCTCACAGCACCGGTACCATCTCACATATACTCTTATTGATCTATTTTATTTTTACTAAAGTGGAAAATTCGCAACTTGTCAGGAAGCCATTATGATGTCTAATGTCTCGGAAATTGCCTGGGATGTTTTACACACATAAATAACTGGCGGCTCCCGGTTTGTAAAATTAAAAAATAATAATAAAATATTTTTAAAAAAATTCGATGTGTCTTTTGCTGCACTTCATTTTTTACTTGTTTGATATTGAGCGTTATTCTTGAAACATCCCATTCCCGTGACTTTTTAGGCCTATACCTTCTCGTTCGTGAAACGTAGGGCCTACTAATTATGCTCGGTCATTCGTAATTTTCAATTTACCGGGCTCGCATTTTCGATGAGATATGAATAGAGATGTATTCTCTATAATTTGTTATTTGATGATTTTTCCCGTGAACCTCCCCCTCACCCCATATAATAGGACCCTCGTCGTTAGTTAGAAAGTAGGCCTACATGTATTGCATTGCGCAAAATATACAACATGTAGCTACATTAATATTACAGAAGAATAAACACTCTTGAAACATCACATTGTGTTTTGTCCTTTATATATATATATATATATATATATATATATATATATATATATATATGACAATAATAATGATAATATAATTATCAAAAAATTAATAAATCAATTAATTAATGAATAATAAAGAAAAAAATAATAAAAGCGGTGAACCTACGTCGGCCCACCAGCTACTGTCGCTTGTGGGCCGACGTTGGGCCGCTCAAGTTTTATGTCGCTGGTGGGCCAACGTTCTACCGATGGTCAGGCCAACGTAGGCCCACCGGCAACAGTAGCTGGTGGGCCGACGTAGTTGGAGTCGGCGGCCCAACGTCGGCCCACCGGCGACATGCTATCTGGGAGCCTATCAGTAAAATAAACGTGCATCTCATTATACCCCTTTAATAAAGTAGGCCCTACGTTTAGCTTACAGGAATTTTAGGCATACAAATGACTTTAAGATGTATTCAAATGCATGTAATTTACTTTTTAAGGTAATTTAATAAGTATAAATGTGAATATCTTTAAAATGCGGTGTGTTAGCAGTGCTTAAATCCAGAAAAGTTGAATAAAAAAAATGAAAGAAAAGAAAAACAGAGAGAGAGAGATATATATAGTTATGCAATAATTATATTCTATATCAATTTTTTAATGAATTATCAAAAGATATAAAAACTTGAGAGCATAGCAAGACATAGGCGGTCTAAATATAATATATGGTTGTGACCGAGTATTCACTGCGTGTCTTCTTTTACTTCTTTGACCTACAAACGTACATGTAGTTCAGCGTAGCGGAAACACTCACACGTTATGAAGGACCAGATATATTTACAAATTTCCATAAAGGTATGATATAAGTAGAAAGACATTCCTCGATTCTTGATGACAGAAGGTTGAGTACTTTGTTGTTGTGATCTGGTTCTGCTAGACATGAGAGTTGAATGCGGCAGTTGGGCGGGGCTTTTGAGAGATAGAGAGATATGTGATAAGTGCTATTTACAGTGAAGTGTATGTCAGTGTGTAAATTATATTTGTATGATATATACATAAAGGAACTGCAGGTGCCACGATGCTATTGTGGGGCATTATATTTGTTAAGTAATATGTAAATGAATAATAATGATAATAAAGTAAACAAATATATTAATATGATTACTTAATATGGTAACTTTTATATCTCCGATGGACTCCCGATCAAGAAGAGGAGAGGGCCTAATCGTGGAAATTTAATTTTTTAAAAATGATATCCAAAAAAGATCTAGTTTTCAAATTTTCATTTTCATAGCTTGCCAAAATTAAAGCAATTTCACCATAAAAATAACATGAAAATGTATGGAATTTTTAATTTTTTTTTTCAAAAACCCCAGGTCCTTCCTTTAATTTTATATATGTAAGTGTAGAGTTTCCCTTTGGTGTCTATGATGATAATAAAAGTGATTCTTACCTTAATTGCTATGTAAGAGAAAGTTATGCATAAAGTACCAAGAATTATGTTTGCTTTGTTAATTTTCTCATTCATATGTTGGTCAAAAGTTAAATTATGATCAGTGGTGACTCCTATGTCCTTTTCTTTGCTGACTGGATGTGGATCTATTCCTGGGGAACCAAGTTTATACACATGATTGTCTGAGGTCCTAGAGCTAGAAATGTGCTTAGATTTACATTTATCTGGATGCAACTTAAGAAGTGAGTTTTCAGTCCAATTGTAAACTTCATTTATATATCCTCCTGTAATTTTGCACAGTCCTCAATATCATACATTATTCAAAATATTTAAGTGTCATCATCTGCAAAAGGGTAAACTTTGGATCAATTTTTTATTGAGTTTTGAAAGTACAAAAAAAAACCATGAGGATGAGGAAGCTGCCATGTTTGATGTGGGCCGAGTACCACATCCAGTTCAGACATACATGCATATACATGTACATGTATGTACTAATAACATACTGGTTTTGACATTCAGTCTTTAAAGAAATTTCTTTCTGAAAATGTGCTTCTCTTTCTGGACATTTTGTTGAAAGAAAATACATTTTGATAATTTGCTAGATTGTCCACAGGCAGTACCGACTAACCAACCTGCCATTATATATATTCCCCTAAAATTTCTTCAGCCATTTTTGAAAATATAGTCTTTTGATGCCATGGGCTGTCCAACTGGTGGCCTCACTGGGGATAGCCTTGTCTTCTGGCAAATAAAGAAAAACTAAATCCCACCCCTTTCTTTGTAATTTACATGTTCTGTGAATCACTGTTGGCCATTGTTGAATATTTAATGAATGTTTATCTTTTTTTTTCTAGTTCACACACACAGTTTGACAGTTGTTGTACAGTGTCATGTGTCTCCGTAGTGGCCTGCTTGATGTGGTCAGTTTGGGATGAAATTTATTGGACCTAAAGTGGAGTAGTGACATGACTTCCCTCAGGTCACCCATTTCCAAGATGGGAACAAACTGATTGCAGGTAATACACAAAATAAACACTTGGTTTTGTTTTACAAGCTATGTAACACAAAATTTGTCTCTTATCCTTCCCCTATGGATCAACAAAACAGTGATCATATTTTGCGTTTCTTTAAAATTTCATAATTTTTTTTGCACTTCTCCCATCTTACTCCTCACAAAATAAGGCACAGCCACCTGGTATAGTTATCCCAGATTTCTAAAGTTATTGTGTTTAGTTAGTTTGTGTGTAAATTCCACAAATAATCGAAGCAGATTTGACAGAATTCTGTTGATTTAACTGTGATCAGTCTGAGATTGTGATAGTTTCAACAGTCACAATGGTGTCCAGTAGCCTCCAAAAGACAAGGTCATTTTTAACTTATCACAGTTCAATCACCACAACTCCGATGTGTGAAATAGACAGGAAATGGCAGCTGCAGGAATATCCTTTCATCTCACCCAGTTGTGGAAGACACAAATACAAAATTCAGTCCTTTCAGTTATATTGTTCTTGTTTCAGAGTACCCTCACCATGAAAAAGCTGAAAAAGCAGGCAGTGAAAGATACCACCAAGAGCAGCACTGTGTCTTCTCCATGTGTACAATACATGATATTTGGCAAGATTTACCTGTTGAGTATTGTGATAACAACAACCCCTTCCAGAAAGGAGTAATCT